GTCTGTTTTAACTTGCTGCAGATAGTCAATTCCATTTACTTCACTACATTCGTCTTCATCAACTATAAAAATCTAGACTGTACCCTTACTACCAGGATATCTTACATTATCTTTTTTTTTTTCCAAAGCAATTTAAAGGTTTATGCTATCTCTGCTTCTGCACAGTTTATGTACCACATGTGCCTCCCACGCTCAGTTTCCCCTTTACCTCTGTCTTTCCTTAAGGTGCACATGTGCTGCTCTGCCCCATTCTCATTCCTTGCAGCTATTATATCTCCTGAACCACTTGGGGTTCAGCTTCTTTCCCTCTGTGCTCAGGAGCTGGCATACACTCATCTTACTGGCCACCACTGATTTCACTTGGCAGAGAATAAAGTCTCTTCTAAGAAGCAAACTCCCTGCTTCCTTCACTGCTGCTCTCACCTGTCCACCCAATTCCCTCTCATGTTCCTTTAGGCAAAGAAATGCGAACACCTATCTGATTTTCCTCTTGCTGTACTAAAACTAGCAACACAGATAACAGCCTATCCAAATCAGCTCCCTTCTTTCCTTGGTTTCAAATCACTTTAATCTCTGGCAGAACAAACGCTGGAGGCAGAGCCCCTTCGTGGAGCATGCTCTGAATAGCTTGCAGTGACCTGAACAGTGATGTACCAGCAGCTCTGGGAACCACCACCACCACCTGCACGTGCCTGTGGCATTGCCACGCCAGGTAGGGTGCTTTAGCTCTAGCAGCTGCCGTGCTTCTCCCTGCCTCACTGATGATGCTCACCAAGCAGCTCATGTTCAGTGACCTGGCTGCTCTCCAAACCCAAACTTTACGATTCCTGGGGTCATACTAGGGGCAGGAAGAAGCATGCGAGGGGGGACGTACACAGTGGGCACTTACAGACAACCTCTGTTTCTGTTCCATTTTAGTCGAAATTCCATACGTATGCACACAGTGAAAGACTATCCCACATCACATGGAGACAGATCTGCAGGCTCTCAGGTACCTTTAAGGTGCTGCCCTTCACAAGGAATGAATGAAACTGCTTGACAAGCAGGAGTGGGAGCACGTTCCCTCCAGTCCCAAGATCCACCAGTGCCTCTGCTCTAGGAGACAAAGGTATTTCTCCCCAGAATCACAGACGCAGCTTCCACTTCCACTGCCCAAAGGCAGATCTGTGACGGTCTCATAACCATCCCAGAGATGGGGAGACTTGACTGGGTGGTGTCTGTATGCATGTTCTTACATCTACAGAGCTCAGACTAACAAACAGCCATGAGGACCAGCTGATTATCTTGATGCTATATTGACAGAAAGACAAGGCCTGTTTCAACCACGTGGAAAACACAGATTAATTCTCTGACTCCAAATGTCACACCACTTAAAGTACAATATAGGCTATGGCGTTAGAGGAGATGCTGTTGAAGAATTAAAGTGTCTAATGATGGGACTGATGACTAGAACCTGCATCTCCTCTTGGGATATCATAATGCTGTAAGATAGATCACCTTTATGGAAAGATGACTGAAAGCAGATCTCTGACTCAGTAGGGCCACAAGAAATGAATTTAGAACCTAAAGAGTGAATTATTCAGCAGAGAAATTGTGTTTAAGCCCCAAAGGATTTTAGTTCCATAGGAAAAGGCAATATTTAAGGAAAACTTCACTGGGAACTGAGAAACTTAGGTTTCTGCCTTGGGACCAGAAACAGAGGTGGGCAACGGGACATCTTCCTTTAACTCCACAAGCACTGCCTGTGTCTACAAACTGTGGTCTGAGAAGGAAGCTCTGACCTAGAGGTACCTCTACAGGAGAACATGGCTCATTAAGATAGATCAACATGCAGCTCATGGCCTTTTCCCTCAAAGCATGAAAACACATGCAGGTTAAAGGAACATCTCTAAAATGTCAACCCTGGGACTTGATCTCTGAATTTCAATGAGGATCACAATGAATTTCCTTAGCTACTCTCAACCTTGTGAAAGTCATCTTCCATCTGTCCCAACAAGAGTCTAGTCAGATACCTGCCATGTAACCCTCCTACTTTCCTCAGTCTGTAAACACAGCTGGAGACATCTGCAAGTTTGACATGGCTTTGTTCCCCAGCAATTAACAGTCAGGTCAAAACCTTTTATAGGGTCATAGAATCATCTAGGTTGGAAAAGACGTTCAAGATCATAAAAAATCCAAACCATCAACCTGACTTACCAAGCCCCATCATTAAATCATGTCCCTTAGTGCCACATCCACACATCTCTTAACTACCTCCAGGGATGATGGAGGATGCACCCCCTCCAGGGATGATACCTCCAGTGCAGCAGGAGCTGGGAGGGGACAGACCCAGGACAGAGCGAGAAGCTGAAAAGTCCTTGGCTTAGTGTAAGCACTGATCTGCAACAATTAAAACATCAGTGTGTTATCAACATTCTTCTCATCCTAAATCCAAAACGATCACCCTACCAACCAATAGGAGGAAAATTAACTCTATCCTAGCTGAAACCAGGACACTTTACCACTTCCCTGGGCAGGTTGTTCCAACACCCAGCCTCTCTCTGTGAGGAAATTCTTCCTGACATCCAACCTAAACCTCCCTGGCACAACTTGAGGCCATTTCCTCATGTCCTATCACTTGTCACCTGAGGAAAGAGACCGACACTCCTCGCTGCAGTTTCCTTGCAGGTAGTTGTAGAGGGTGATGAGGTCTCCCCTCAGCCTCCCTTTCTCCAGGCTAAACAAACCCAGCTCCCTCAGTCACTCCTCATAAGTCTTGTTTTCTAGTCCCTTCACCAGCTTTATTGCTTTCCTCTGCAGACACTCAAGCAACTCAGTATCTTTCTTGTATTGAAGAGCTCAAAACTGAACACAATATTCAAGATGTGATCTAACCAGTGCCATGTACAAGTGGACAGTGCATAGCCCAATCAGCTATCAGGCTATACTGAAACTCATAAAACAGACCCTTTTTCTTTGGTCTTGAGGGCAAGCGGCAGAAAAGCAGCATGTCCACATAGCTAAACTATCGTCTGTGCACAATCATGGTGGTGTTATCCAAGCTACCTACTGCAAACAAACTGTGTCTGAAAAACTGCACCCAAGCTTTGTCAGGAAAAATAAAAGCTGGCAGAAGCCAAAACCATGTCAGGGGACACAGTATGGACAACTGGAGGAAAGTGCTCACACTTCTGCTCTAGTGCCTAGGCACCTGTACTATGGATCCGGACATTTCACTACACAAGTTCAATTTAACACAGACATGGAGCATTCTTTAAGAAAACACACAGCAAACATGATCTCCTAGACAGAGGAAGGAGTTACCACATTAACCACTTAAACCACAATGGTAATTGTACTCTCTCAATTTAGCATCACAAAGGGAAAGGGTAAGTGGCCCTGCAGAGTACAGCTGCAAAGCAAGTATGAGAGGGAGGAAGGTGGAATCCCCTCAGGAAAAAGTCCCAACTCATCAGCTTTAACCACCTCTGGAAAAGGAGGAATATCCCATTCAAGTCTTTATTGTCATCAAGTGTTTCCCACCAGCAAAACAGAAATATTCACTTCACTTCTAAGGGATGCAGAGTTCAGCTGAATTTATAACACTGCGATCAGTCAGGATCCCTTGCTGCACAGGACTGTGAAAAGACAAAGGCGATCAATGACATACACTGAAGCACTTACAAAGATAAGTCAAAGAAAGAAAACGAATGAGCATTGGGAACACAAGCTGGAACTTCAGGCAGGCGAGCTAACAGCTGAACAAATTGGGAGGCTGAGTGGAAGAAAAGCTTTGCTGATTAGCCCCTGCAGCATGCAGGTTCGTAGTGCCACCAGCAGAACACTGCTCCCACTTACACCTTCCACAGCCACCAGACCCAGGTCCCAAAGGCACCAAACTGCACTCTGCACAATGACTGATGTGCAGGCATCCCGGAGCACACCACCCGCCACGTGGTTGTCACAGCACACACAGACTTTGTGGCTCACTGATAGTCTCCAAGCATCCTGGTAGAGAGAGGCCTGATGGTGTGTATGTATACATTTAAAACTCTCAGGAAAAACTACGATTACAGTAAATACATGACTTGAAATGGTAAAAAGCTTCCAGAAACTAATTAACACTTCTTGTTTTGTAAAGTTGGAAACTTATTTTATTAATTTTCTGTTCTCTAACTTTGTTTCCAACTCCACAGTCAAAGTTAACTCTTAATATTAATCAGATGGATTATCACAATCCATCTGATTAATATTAAACCTCATTTAATGTGCAAAGTGAACTTTGCTGAACTTCTCAAGTCAGGGCCACTTCTCCCCCCTTGGAAGTAATAAACTGAGAAACAAAATCTGGATGTTCTCCTCAGTTGCATTAGATGTGGACAAGTTCAGGTCTGCCAGAAGCATCTTCCACCCAGCGCTGAGGCTGGGAGAGGAACACTGCCCAGGCAGCTGTCAGGAAGCTGTGGTGATACAGCCCACAACAGCAGGAAACCCAGTAACTTACTGTGACCTCCAGCAGCACCAGTATGTCTGGCACATGCAATTCACAGCTGCTCCCAACACTGCTGTCCTCCAGGAACAGCCAATTCCTCTTAGGTTGTGACTGGCACTGAAGGTGGAGGGTCAGGAGTGCTATGGCTGGGTAACAGCCATTTTCAGTATTTTTTTGAACCAGAACACATGTAAATTACTCAAGATCTATCTAGTGTTTTCCTTTGAAGGCTCCTACAATGCAGTGCTGAGTTTGAGGTTCAGACCAACAGTCACTGCATCACCGTTAAAACCTCTACAAAATGAACTGATGATTGCTGTCCTCACGACAGTACCATGCCACTTACATGAACCAGTGTGAGCAGAATGAGCTAACACCCCGAGCAACACAGTTCATAAGATGTATTCATCACTCACTGCAAAGAATGGGCAAACACCGAGTGTGAAGGAAATTTAAAATTGAGACTTCTGAATTTCTGGGACCATTCAGTGCATCTGCTGAGAGCGATTCTGATCTAAGAGCAGCTTACCTTGCCGTGGATCATACTGTCGCATCTGCACCTCCTCAACACATTCTGCTGGGAACCAGCCAGTCCTTCCTTTCACGGTTCCTTCCCAAAAGCCACCTTCGCCAATACTCAGCACTGTGGGAAGAAACAAACAGGGGAGTGAGAACGAGGAGCACTCAGAAAAAGGGAAGGCCAGAACAACCACCCTGTAGTGTTAAGTCAGTGGAAACATGACAGAGCAGAGCACAGAAAAATTCTCTGGGGACACGCATGGTCCGGAGGAACAAAGCACCTCAGGAAACTTCCTGAAGGTTTTCTTGCCCACATCAAGTAGAAAGAAAGTGTAGAGAATGGCCTCAGTGCTGGCCATGTGATGGGAACACGAACGAGCAGACTCGCACCATCCTGTCGTTTTACCAAGGATCGTTGACACAAGGACCAGACCTAACAGGACTCTGGTAGAGACAACTCCCAGGAACACGCTACAGACTGAACCTTCCTACATCCTCAGAGCAACAGAGAAATCACAGCTACGTAAGGAAAACGAGGTGCAGAGAGGGAAAGAAACTGGGCAATGACAGGAGTCACCATGAGAACTGGGGTGTCCTGACAGGCCCCTATTCAAAAAATAAAAAATAAAAGAGCTATTTCACTCTAAATGAGACACCAAGCACCGAGGTACTTCAATGTCACAGAAAAATTCTCCCAACCCATTAAGACTTGTTTTTACTTGCTCAAAGCTTAGAGAAACAGAAAGGAAGTCTTGAAACGTGCTCTGAAGATTAAATGAACTCAGAGTCAGGGCAATTTTAATCGAGAATTACATCACCAGTGTCCTCATTAAACCAGGGAACTATCAGCTTGAGCTCCTCACCAACTGCTGACTGAAAAAGGATGTCTTCCAGATAGCCAGGATCCAACCTACTGAAGAGCTATGAACAAAACCAGCACTTCTTATTACACCTGAAAAATGAACTCGGGTCCAATGCAGACTAGCCAGCACAGGGTCTGCTATGAAAATCATTACCAGCAAATGTGTGCTGGCATCTCTAAATGTCAGCTGTCATCTCTAAATTCCTTGCAACTGGATCCCCCACACCTTATGCTACCAGGCTCTGCAAGAAAGATTTGTATTGTTTTGGGACATTTAAAAATGCATCAAACATGACCATTACATTGCTTACGGCCACAGAGAAAATGATTGTCTTTCCCAGAGCATCCAAGCAAACAAAAATATAGTGCAAGTGGAAAAAAAAAGTGAGAATCATTACTAATCTGTCTGGATGTTCCCCATTTCTGTATTATATCCCAGAATGCCCAGATATTATCCCTGTTTTACCCAGAAAATGGCCAACAAGCACCTCTCCCTTGAATTCAAGCACTTACAATGCCAACTATTTGCACCATCTTGATGCAAAAAAAAAGTGGAGGGGAACAGTTATATGTTTTCTGGTTATTGTGGCTCACAATGTTTGTGAACTAATGTGTTATATATAGCCTACAAAATGCTACTTAGATCAAGAGAAACTGCTGCACATCACCCAAAGCGATAAGCTTTTGATGCTTCATTTGGAAAACACTCTGATGTAACATTCAGAATTGCAATTCATTTGATATTCAGACAAAAACAAAAAACAAAACAGAAGACTTGCAACATCCTAGAGTCCCTGCTGTCAGAGTGAAATCCCAAATGATCTTCAAACTATTTCCTTAGCATTACCTGGATGGATAAAAATGTACTTAAAACCCAGGCTATGTCACTGAAGAGATGCCCCTGATTAGCACAGACATGGAGTTTCCTGGACTTGCTTTGAAACTTCAGGAGCAGCTATAAAATTCCCTACTACAAAGAAGGGGCACAAACCCGAGGATAACCTGCATCTCAGTAGGATGTGTCTTACCGACAAGGATCCACTGAACTGAATTGTGAAGCTCCTTCACAAACCCCTGAGCAGCAGGTAAGGTAAGTCTGATGTTGAGTCTATGTTAGATTTGCATTGTCTTGTACTTTTTCTTTATAGCTGTTTCTCCAACTTTGTAATCAGAACTTAACATAGTGGCTTTGACAGCATGAAGCTCAACTTCCTTTTGAGCTTGCCTAAGATCTAAAACATACTCAAGTGAATTTGACAGTTAAAGGGAGCTGTTTCTCCCAGAGGTAGGGACTATAGGTTGCAGACAAGTCTTAGGACCTGTCCCAGCACAAATGCATTGATCTTGGAAGCAGCCGAATACTTCCTCCAACCCCCAGTAAAAGATGAAGAACCTCCCCTGGCAGATCACCAAAAAGGCCTTTTGGCAAGGGGATGACAGTGACGAGGCAACCAGCGATGGCAGGGAAGCCTGACTGGCTCATTTGTCTAAGTCTGCACTGCGAATAGGCAGAGTAAGCAGTTATCAACAGTTACTCAGCTCTTGTCACAAGAAACTAGAGTAAATGAAACCACTGCTAAAACACAATCCCAGGCAGCCAGATCTTTGTTCCTCAGTAGGAATAGCGATTGAGATAAATTTTGAAAACATTTGTACCACAAGGCTACGCAAGCATCCTATGATTGTGAATGCTGCCAGAGCTACACAGGTAGCAGTCATTGCCCCTCTTCTCCATAAGATAATTCTGCACAGTTTCCAGTGCCCTATTGCTCCCTCCTCTCGCCACTTTTAAAACAAAACCAAAAACTGAACACCTCAGAATGGGCTGGGTGCTCTGCAGAACACACAGAAGTGCCCTGCTGGAAAGGGAAAGCCTCCACACTCAAAAGGGCTTTTCAGTTCATATTTAGCAAACCAAGTGCCTTGAGGATCCTATGCAGCTGTCGGTGGAAGTGTGAGGCATTTTACCCCAAAGGCTATCGAGGCAAGGGGGGCTGGCACTCTCAGCTCACCTCTCCGGGATGTCCCCACCTCACTGCAGTGCTGGGTAGCGGGGGTGAGGCAGGAGCATCGTGCTCAAGTGACACCGCTGTGTGTCACCTGCGGCACCCTGCTGCCCTCCACTCTCCCCAGGGTCTCTCACTGCACCTCTAGCATTCAGGCTTCAGATGCATTAGCTGTTTTCTGCTCCTGCTGTTAATCCCTACACAAAGCACTGTGTAATTCACTCTCCATCAGTATATTGGTGTCTCCCTAGTCAAATCTCTTTTTTTTTTTTTTCTTGATCCACAATAGCAGTGGCCCCATCCACTCAGGTGTCACGGGAGTCACTGCTGCTATTCCTGGGTACCCACCCTCGCTGAGCAACATGCAAGAAAGGAAGGGAAAGCTATCCTAGGTAGGTAAGGAAAACAACATAAGGCTTAATGTCCAGGTGGCAGATTTATAGCATTTTCAGATCAGGAAAAAGAACGAACAGTTATGCATAAAGCACCGCATCTTACAAAGGGGAAGCTGATCCACTGGCACAGACCATGGCTGTACTGCTAGCCTGGGATTTCTGTTGCTGGTAACAGAGGGGACAACTTTTTTTTCCCTCCCCTTTTTAACTGGATTAGTTAACAGATACACCATTCTGAAAATATACTCCTGAACTACTATGGTATTTGATATCCCAATTGGCAGAAGGCACAGACATACCCACACTCCTCAATGTGCTGCCACCTCTCTAATTCAGCTGTCTTCCAGAGCTGCACAGACAGCACTATTGGATTTGTCCCTGCACCCATCCACGTAGTGCCCATGTGTCATTCACAGCTAAATCCAGATACGAGAGTTACTCATCAATTACATACTCCTCCATGCCAGCCACAGCAGATTCCCCACAGAAGAGGAGCTTCACGATTGCCTGTATCTAGGCACTAATTCTATAGGAAGCAAGGGAAAGACAAGAAGCTTGACTTACAAGCCAAACAGTAGATTCGTTTAAGTCTCTTCTCTAGATCCTTTCTTGAGATGCTAATACTCCTAATGCTCCCTGTTCTCCAAAGGCTGTGATGTTGTCACAATTTGAAATAGATCTAAATCCCGTATTATATTTCCCACGGCTCTTGTCCATGCATTAGAAGTTCTGATAACACTTCCCAGTGGAAAATTCCCCATCTAGTACTTTGTATTTATAACTTCCAAACCACCTCTTTAAGGAAGAGAGCTCATTCTGCTCTTCAGATTCTCCTGTTCTTGCATTGTTATGCTTTGCTCTTCACTCACACACCGCTTCTCTTTTAAGATTTGCTATTTCTTGAGGATTGCCAGCACCAAGCTGAACACAGATTTTAAGGAAAATAGCAAGCTGAGTCTATTCTAATGGAAGGGAAACTTTAAAACTTGCTAACTGGCAAAATATGGATTATGAGGCCATTACACAAGACAAGGTCAAGAGCCTTACTCAAGTCAAGATAAACAACATCCTCTGCTCTTCCTACATCCAGTAAGACAGTCACCTCATTGCAGAAAGTCATCAGCTTGGTAAAGCAGGATTTCCCCTTCACAAATCCAGGCTGACTACTCTGTCACCTTCATTACCATGAGGACGATCAGAGGGCTGGAGCACCTCTCCTGTGAGGACAGCACAGAGTTCCCCACACCTTCCTCCTCGCCCTTCCTGAAGACAGGGCTGACATCCACTTTCTTCCAGTCATCAGGAATCTCTCCCCATTAACACAACCTTTCAAAGATAATCGAGACTGACCTTGCAACATCATCAGCCAGATCCCTCAGCACTCCCAGGTGCATCTCATCAGGCTCCATGGGCTTGGATGCCCAGTTTGTTTCAGTGTTCCCTACCCTGATCCTCCTCCACTGCAGACAAGCCTATCTTGGCACGGACTCTCCTTCTGGTTTCAGGGGCCCCACATTCCTGAAGGACTTGCCAGTGAGGACTGAGGCAAAGAAGGAAGCACCTCAGCCTCACTCAGCTCATTCAAACTCTTGCTGCATAAACATTCACCTTCCTTAGGAAGCAGGGAGAGAAAGCATGAGTTTGGGGGTGGGCAGAGCGAGGAGCAGATGGGTGCCAAGGAGCTCTGAAGTTACAGCAATTCATGCCAGGCACAACAACAGGACAGCACTCAAACCCAGCAGCGTGGATTCAGCTGGACTTCAGAAAGGCCTGGCTTGAAATTGGGGTGTCACCTCTCAGCAATCCGTCCGGCCAAGTCACCCAAAAAGCCTGCCTCATTTTCTTGTTCAAAATCGTGCCT